GAGCCCAGTCCATTACACAAACCAGGCTTCCATCCATTGACTCCATCTATACTTCCCACTATCTCAGGAAAGCAACCAATATAATCAAACACCCCTCCCACACTGCTTATACTCTCTTCCACCATCTTCCATCCAGCAGAAGATATAAAAGTTTGAATACATGTATGAACAGATTCAAGATCAGCTTCTTCTCCATTCTTATCAGACTTTTGAACAGACCTTTCAAATGTTAATTCTGATCTCTCTCTTTGGACCTTCTCTGTGGCTGTAACGCTGCATTCTTCACTTTATTCTGCTACCCTGATCCTTTGATGCATATAATCTGCCTGTATAGCATGCAAAACAACACTTTTCATTGTATCTCAGGACATGCGACAAAAATAAATCAATCAAATCAATCTCTGAACTCTGCCCCACCATTTCATAAGATCACGACTGTTCTGATTCTGGCCTCTATTTTCCTGCCTGTCACCTGTACCTTTTGACTTCTTTGTCAGTCAAGAATACATCTAAGTTAGCCTTAAAAATATTCAAAGGCCCCCACCTCTAAGGAAAGAGAATTCTGTAGATTAACAACCCTCTGAAGAAAAAAAAATCCCCTGATATTCATCTTAAGTGGGAGACCTCTTATTTTTAAACATTTCTGTCTAGTTCTACTTTCTTTGAACCTAAAGTTCTTGCTTCCTTCATTCCAGGAATGTATTCGGTGCTGAAAACAGCAAGTGAGAAATTTATGGTCCCATTAACAGGTTTGGAAACTATGCCCGCACGGTTATTAGACTGCTCCTGGAGTGAAGTAGTAGCAATAGTTACAAACTGAATGCAAACCATTGAAAACAGATCAATGAAGGAGGGGGCTTGTGTAAATTAGCAAGTAGGGTAGTCAGTGGAGGCGGGGGTGGGGGGAGGAGGTGGTACGGCAGTTATAAACTGTGGGGTCTAGAACAGGAAGGGGCATTACTGGCTCTGAACAGGAACAGATGTTTCAAAGAAAAGGCAAACCTGCACAGAATCTGCAGGGGCTACCTTTCCTGAACTGAAGTGGGATCAGAAGGGGAGAGGACCTCTGTAAAGTAGAAGGGATGCTGGAGGAGTAGAGGGTCTCTGTGTAAGGGACAGCATGTGTTAGAATATTTTGGAGAACAAAGGAAACTGAAGCAACAGTAAGACATTCTCCCCCCTACCCTGTTCTGTCATTTACATAGATCATACCTGATCTTCTACCTCATTGCCCTTTTCTTGAACTATCCTCATACTGCTTGATGTCATTCATATCTAGGAATCTATCGACTTCTATCTTGAACATACTCAATGATTGAAGCACCATGGCCCTTTACGGTGGGGAATTCCAATCACCTTCTGGATGAAGAAATTTCTCCTCAACTCAGCCCAAAATGACCTAGCTCTTATTCTGAGATTCTGACCCCAAGTTCTGGACACCCTGGACAGAGGAAACAGTCTTTCTCTATCTATCCTGGAATCCCCTTTTTCACAGCATGTACCTACACCACCACCGCCTCCCCCCACCCCCCATATCCCTATAGGATTCAAGAAGGCAACTCACTACCACCTTCTCAAAGGTAAGCAATGATGGGGAATAAGTCAGTGACATCAACATCCTGTAAATGAATAAACAAAACCTCTTAGGCCCTGTAAGAATTTTGTTTGCTTCAATGCTTCTAAACTCTAGAGAATATAGGCCTAGTCCCCTCAACCTCTGCTCATAGGTCAGTACCATCATCCCTAAATTGAGTTTGGTTAATCCTTGTTACACTCCTGGCATGGCAAATTTTTCCTTTCTTCAGTAATATGGCAAATTTATTTACAATGCAGAAGCAATAGTTAAGTTGGTCTGCTCAAAATGGATTAAACCAAAAGAAGCATACCCTTTCCCATTGACACTAATGCTAACCCTAACCCAAAATTGTATTAGATCCCATCAATTGTGAAGTAAAAAATGTTTAAAGTTAAGGAACATCTATCAAATTTGATGTAAATATTTTCTGGGAAGCAGGCTTTAGAAAGGCAAACGTTGGTGGTCAGAGTGACAGTAATTGAAAGGAAATTTGTCAATTCTACATTTGCTGCTTACAGCCCTGGTGCATTGGGCTGTCACAAAATTGACAGTTGCATTCTTTTCACTTAGCTATCTCCATGCTTTGTTGGAAGCAAGATGGCTAAAATTGTTGTCAGTTTTGTACAATTACAACATTTAAAAGACATTTGGACAGATTCATGCATAGGAAACGTGTAGCGGGATTTGGGCCAAATGCAGGCAAATAGGACTAGTTCAGTTTAGAGAACCTGGTCCGTACGAGTTGGGCCGAAGGCTGTGTGTCGGTGCTGTATGACTCTCTTTTTGCAGCGTCGAGCCTGTTTAGAACTGGTTGTTCGAGGCCCTAAGAGTTGAGACTGAGAGTGGAGGCTTATGTGTCACACGAACCTGACTTGAATGTGAAACCAGGATGGAAGAGGAAAGTGTACCGAACTCACAAGGTCACTGAAAATATTTCTAGGTACAAAATGGGTCTTTTTTTCTTAAACTGCCACTCACTTGTTTTTCCTCTCCGGACTACATGTGTGCCGTCTTGAGCCTGTGTTTGTTGGTGACTGCATTTGCAATTCCTTGGAAGGACTTGGTGGTTTGGGCGACGCTTCCATCCCAGATTCTAACATCCCCTTCCTGAACCCCTCCGGAGGGAGAGGCCTGTTTTCGAACTTGAGTGGTGGCGCACTTGACTGTTTTGGCCGCAAACTGGACCCACTCACCACGAATGACCCTTCGGGCAACATCTGGAGATCTTTCAAGTCTTCCAGCAGGGCGCCTTCTCCTTGGCTCAATGCCCTGCCCCCTGACGGTGAGGAGTCTGGCACCGATCTGGACATGGTCAGCTCTTGCCAGTTTTCCAAGGTTAGGTCTTGCATCTCGGAATACCTCTCCTCTTCGTTTGGCAGCAGGTATTTCCGTTTGTTGAGGTTGTGGAAGACAATGGGGAAAGTCTGAAACATTTTATCAATCGCTGGTTCCGTTTTGAATTGAACTAGTATTCGGCGACAGTTGGTGACTGCAATTGCCCGAATTCGGTGAACCGTTGGGGAGCAAGTTCTCATTCCAGAACAACGCAATAAGAGAGGCCGCTTGGAGACCAGCTTTAAAAGTAAATAGAAGAATCGCTTAAGCCCTTTGTTGTGCGGCATTGTTGCTGAATTATCATTTATAGACGGATGTGTGTTTGGTTCCGTTTGAACTAGATAATACAGCAACAGAGAACAACAATGCAAGAAACATCCCAGAAAATCTGAACAAAAACAGGTGAGCCACATTTTAGAACAAAATGTAAAGAAAAGAATAAAGTATTTTGTAAAATCCGATGACTGTCTTTCGATTTTGTCACATCGGTACTTCAAAAATGTACTTTCAATAAAATAGTTACCAATCACAAAGGACCTGGAGTGGGAATCAAACAAAAAAGAATAGACGACATAAATACAGATTATCACAAGCTTGTTCAAAGAAGTAGATTTTAAGGAGTGTCTTAAAGGAGGGGAGAAAAAGGTGGGGAAGCAGAGTAGAGAGAGGAAGTTCCAGGGTTAGACTTGGCAACTGAAAGTCGTACCGCCAATGGTAGAGCAATAATAATCGAGGATGCAGAATTAGGACGAAGAGCTATCTCAAAGAGTTGTGTGACTGGAAGTGGTCACTGAGATTGGGGAGGGACAAAGCCATGGAGAGATTTGGAAACAAGGACGAGAATTTTCACTTGAGGTGGTGTCCAAACCCAAATAAAGTAGGTCAGTGAGTACAAAAAATGATGTGCAACGGCCCTTCTAAATTGCACATGGATGTATGCGCTAAACAGCAACCCAAAACATACCAGGAATCTTGCTGACAAGTTGTCCCCTTTAAGATATGACGTGTACTATAAAACATAATAAACTTTAAGTTGTTGCAGCACATAAAGGGATCATTACTCCTGGGTAAATGGGCCTTAGTGCGAGTTAGGACACCAACAGCAGAATTTTGGACCTCCTCAAGTGGACGATGTGAGACCAGCCAGGAGATAGGATAACTTCAAATTTACTAAGTTTGTCACATGAATAAGTATAAAATAAAGTCATAGATCTTTTACTGTATAAAAAGGCCTTCTACCCATCATGTCCATGTAGTTTACAAACATCTATATTCTAATCTCATCCTGCAAAATTTGGCCTGTAGGCTTATGTGCTCTGGCATTTCAAGTGTCCAATTAAATGTTTCTTAAATGTCTTCACGGTTCCAGCCTCAAATATCCTCTTAGTTACTGTGTTCCAGATATCTGCCATACTCTGGGTGAAATAAAATCCTCAAATCCCCACTAAAGCTCATGCTCCTTCCCTTAAAGATGTGAGTCGTGGTTACCCCTCTTTGAGGGAGAAAACTTTCTCCTTCTCTATTCTATTTTGCCCCTCCGAACTTTGTACACCTGAATCAGCTACCACCTCAAACTTCTCTGCTGTATGGAAAATAATCCCAGCCTATCTAGTCTCATCATAGCTGAAAAAGAAACTGTACTTGATATCTCAACCCACAGTGTTATATGTAATTTTAGTTCATCTTTGAAAATATTTTTTTTTTAAAGATTAATGTACAGCCGCACCTTTTCGCTATAAAGAACAAAGTAAAGAAAAACTTCCACATTTAAAATCAACAAAACACGTGAACGTTACATTTAAGAAAGACACAATTATACACACAAATAGCTTTGGCTCTTTGTCTTCACACACATTGGTCTTACAGATAGAGGCGAGGGGGGCACCCGCTGCGCCCCCTCTCGGCTCTGAGCGTTCATTGATGGAAACGGAGCACAGGCATTGTCTACCAAACTTGCTTGACAAGGCGGGGCATCGGGGCGCCACGGACGTGATTGGCGGACGGGGCACGCTCCTGGCTGCCGATTGGCTGGGCCTTGGAACAAGCCTTGCCCCCACGTGTCCCTTTTCCCCACCCCCCGCCCCACTCCCTTTGTGTAGCAGGTTCGGTTGAGGCGCGGGGCGGCCAAGATGGTGGCGGCGGTGGCGGTAGCAGGAGGAGTAGTGGAGGTGGCGATGATGATGGCGACCGTAGTATCGGCGGCGGCGCTGGTGTCGGAGAGAGTGGCTGTGGCAATATGAAGCGAGGTGGTCCCGGCGGCTAAGGATCGGTTTTCCTTCGTCGTTCAGCAAAAAAAATATAATTCACAGCCGAGGGAGTTCTCTGCTTTTCTTCTCATGCGAAGTTTTTTTCTTTTGGGGGAGGGAAGGAAACACAGTGTAGAATTGAAACAAGACAGTTTACTGAAATAACATAAATGATGAAATTAAAGCAAAACCAGACTCGGACTTACGATGGGGACGGGTACAAGAAGCGAGCGGCCTGTTTGTGCTTCAAAAACGAGAGTGAAGAGGAGGTAAGAGGTTTTGGGACCTGGTTTGTGCGGCGTTGCTGCTGAGAGAAAGAGAGACAGTCTCCCCAGGGCCCAACACGTCTGCTCTCCACCTCGGCCTTATCCTGGGGGAAGAATCTCTGCTGGACAGGCCTTGCTTATTGTTCTCTTGGAAATTCTTCCGGTTTCAGTGCATTTTATTTTACATTCCGTGATCGATCACACCGAGGGGGCTGGGGCGGGTGGTGTGGGGAGGTCTGTTTTTCTTTGGAGTGATGCCACATGCACTTTTTGCTTTGTGCTAAAATTAACGGTGACACCGCCGGTCGGATTGATCGACGTTTAATGAATTGGGTTCAGAGTGAAGGCATTTTCTCTCTCCCAACTTCAGCCAGTCACAGGGCACGGTGGACTTCTGAGAATCGCATCTGTCTAGTTCAGTGAGACTCTTTCGGTCTCTTGAGGCTGCAGAGCCTCCACACTTTCTGGTCGAAATTTTTGCATTTGCCGTTGTAGGCGTACGTGAAAACAAAAATGCCTTACCTTTCCAGCTGTTCTAACTAGTTATAAATACATTTGTTTTAAAAATAAATGAACGAACCACTCTTTTCAGCAGTAATTTGTGCTTACATACAACGTAGAACACGGCGTGCTTTCTTGATGCAAATTTGTCCATTGCAGCCAGGGATGACTTTTTTAAAAAAAAACATCAGGTGGGATGGCAGCTTTGCAACAGGAGGAAGATAAAGAAGTGAATTGTTTTATGCCTAGAAAGATTTTAACACAAAAGTATCACAGTTCACCATTTTGAAAAAAAACCATCTGCAATCCCACGTTAATAACACGCATGTAGCTTAGATCTCAGTAATATTTTAAAAGTTGAAATGATCTAGGGTGTGAAAGTGTTTGTGAAGGCAGTCTACATCTGCCTACATCTTAAGTGGCTAGGTAGAGCTGATCTGTATTCTTGAATGTATTTTTCAATTAGTTTCCAACTTGTCCTGGCTTTTGGGTATGTGCACAAAAGCATTATGGTTACTACAATTACCCTGACTAATCTAGGTTGTGTAAGTGAGAACATTCTTGTTTGCATCTTCAGTAGAACAGATAAATTGTTTCTTGACCCCTTTTTTTTTGAAAGGAATAAATGACGTGGGAACGTGCTGGTGTACAGATGATAAATTGCTTGAGATTCACTTAGAGTCATACGTTTCTATGGTTGTATAGTTTATTTGAATTTAAGCTATAGATGTGGCAAAACTGGTGCTTTTTGCATTAAGTAGTGAAGTTGCCTTGTTTGATGCTTTTTGTTTATAGGTTAAAGTCAGCTGTGTATAAGTGTACCTGAGCCCAAGTTTCCTTTTAACCTGGACTAAATGATATGTGAAAGTAATTTTAATTGAATTTCAGTGCAAGTCATTCTTCCTAGTTGGCTTCCATTAGGTGCTTGTATCAGAAGACTTGTAGAAGGTAGGAAGTAGGCAAATTTCTTATAAATAATCTGATTTGAGTGAACATTTCAATATCTTAATTTTAATTTCAGTGACACTGTTAAATTGAGAAATCTATTTGAACTTCAAATGGAATTTATTTTAAGCCTAATCTTTGTATGGTTGTGTTGATTTTGTAATCCCTGGTTCTCTGGTTGTGCTGCCAATTTCGTTTTTGGAAGTTGAGAATTTTGTGAAAGCATTTGTCCATGGGATGTTTGACCATGGATGTCAAGAAAAGCTGTTAAGATTTGCTTAAAAAACAGTTTGTGAACTGTGTGTGAAATCAAGCACCATATTGCTTATTACTTTCTGGGACACTTGCAAATAAATATTAGTTTGAGCTTGAACTCTGGAACTTGACTTGTGTAATCTGCTATTTTTCAAAGTGATGAAGGTAGAGTGGTGGCCAAACCTGTGATGTCTATCATAGCCTACAGTATCTTATTCATAATATGTATAAAAGCAAGTTTCAGTTCTGTGTGGCTCACTTTAATTGGAGAAGCTGCTTTTGTATTGTGGCATTAAATGTTAGGTGAAAGCCTGAACAGAAACAGTAATTACTAATATGAGTTGTTAAATTTTATATGGGAAATATGGAAACTTTCTTTAAGATTGTGATTCATTTTCCTTATCGGTTTCAGCTGTTACCAGTAAAATTAAAGTACAACAGCTCACTGATGACAGTATAGTTATTGAGAAACAGAAGGTTTCAAAGCAGTGTAACTTGAAATTGTTTGATAGTACAACCTACTAACAAATAAATGCAGTAATTACCAACCAAGTTTAAGGTCTGCAAATTCTTATTGGTTCTTGTGTTTTCTGCTGTGATTTTGCAATGCTTGAGTTTATGGGTTTTTTAAAACTGTTCTTTCTACTCCTAATGCCTTCAATGCCATTTTTTTAATTTCCCTGGACTGAGTAATCTGCTGTTGAGCATGCTCATCTATGTCCATTTTGATCTTGCTTCCCAGGCAACCGTGAAGCTAATGTATATCAATGCCATTTAACAATGAAAACTGTGGAGTTATAGTTAATAGAATGGCAATACTGTACTCATTCTTGGATGTGTTATAAAAAAATTCCAGCATTATAGAGAAGCACAACGGGCTGCCTAAGGCAATAAAATCTCAAATTCCAGCAGTTTTGAACAGTAGTGAATGTTGTCCATGAGCTTGCAACATTTAAGATAACAGAAATATTTTAAATTGTATGTATAAAAAAATTGATATTGGAGATCCAGCTTTATAACTAGTTTCCAAATGAAATGTTGTAAACCTCCCATCCAATTTTCAGCATGCAATGAAAACATCACTTGTGGTAATTTGGAATTGATTTGAACATCATCATTAGTTTGTCTTGAAAATCCCACTCGTGGAGGTGGAAGTTGTTGCTTGTATTTTGAAATAGTCTATATAAGTGAGATGGTGTTGGGCTGTTTCTATGTTTATTGGCTGTTGTTTTATTCGGTGTTTGGAAATGAAGTTAGTGAGTACTTAGTGTATTTAAGTTGAATACAACTTGTTTTAAATTTCAATCAATCACTCGTGAGCAAAATTTAGTGGCGAGTCTTTTATGATGCTCTTGTGGTTGAATATCTTATAGTTGTGTTGCATGATTTTTTTTTTTCAGTCTATCCATTGCCAGCAATAATCCATAATGCTGAGCAAATAGTCAATAATTTTGCTTCCGTATGTGGCTCATGTTTGGCATGCAACATCTATAGAAAATACATTTATGTAGTGCTTTTGACATGTTAAAACCAGTGACATGGCATTTTGCTGAGTAACTTTCTCACTGTTTTTCTAAGTCTTTCCAGCAAGTCTGAGCAACTCCCATTTGCCTAGATATATTTTAAAAAAACAATTAAGTTTAACAGTTACAAAAACAAGCTGCGAATTTATATTTAAAGTTCATTGCATGTTTTGATAATGTTGATCTTTTGCCATTATTCTTTCTGCGATCACAGATTTGCCTTGTTTGTCTTATTAGCAAAATTTCTTTACTTGATATTACAGCATTATGCCAATTTAGGATTCTGGTAGCAGTGTTTTCAGAAATTTTCACCTCCCTTTATGTAGATGCAGTCTCCTCCTACTTCTGCATTGTCAGTTCTAGCATTGTTTAAAATAGATTATGATAGCATTAATTATGACAGTTTTCTTTGGATGAGGACTAGGCAGAATGCACAATAGTGCACCATGGGAAATTGGAAATTGTGAAGTAAAGCTTCATTTATGCATTGAAAGTGGGATGTTGTCTTACCAGCTATTGGCAACTGAGCACTGCATGACTGAATGATGCTGCTTTGTGATATATAATAAGACTTTTTCTGCAATGGACTTCACAGGATTTTGCTGTGCTGCAAAACTTTATCATGGCAGAAGAAGTTTTGTCTTGCCCATTTTACTTCCATGTGCCCAAAAATCTGTGGGTCGAGCATCGGCCTAGTCAGTCACATGAAGACCCATGGCATAAACTTGCAACGCTGAGTAGATGTCATCCTCGAATCAAGGGACAACTGCCATCGACGACAATTGTACTTCAGAAGTTATGAGAGGTACTGATTGTGGTATAAAGTAACTGATTTTTTTTTCACTTTTACATCTGCCTTATTTCTCTTTTTTGAGTGGTGATGAGAGGGAAAAGAGAAGTTAAAATCTCTGAATTTCTGTTGTATTTTGGCTAATCATGAGCAAATCTTCAGGAAATCTGTTAATGCTTCCCAACATTTTGGCTGTTGCATATTTTTCCATAAATAAAGCATTAATTATTCAACTCCAGTGTCTGTTAATTAACATAGGTTGTACTGATTTTACTACTTGTAAGTACTTGGGGGAGGCAGTGGCCTAATGGTATTATCGCTGGACTGTTAATCCAGAGACCCCAATATTGTTCAGGAGACCTGGGTTCAAATCCTGCCATGACACATGGTGGAATTTGAATTCAATACAACATCCGGAATCAACAGTCTAATGATGACTGTGAATCCATTGTCGATTGTTGGAAAAACCCATCTGGTTCACTAATGCCCTTTAGGGGGAAGGAAACTGCCATCCTTACCTGGTCTGGCCTACATGTGACTCCAGACACTTAACTGCCCTCTGGGCAATTAGGGATGGGCAATAAATGCTGCCTAGCC